TTTCCTGATTGGGGTTTTTGGTTTCCTGATTGGGGTTTTTGGTTTCCTGATTGGGGTTTTTGGTTTCCTGATTGGGGTTGTTGAAGTTTTTTTTTTTTTTTGAGTCATGTGTGTAATTTGCAAATCAACATTTACTGTAACCCCATAGCAGTGGTAGGATTCAAATTTTTTTTTTTTTTACTACCGAGGAGGATAGTGTAAAATCTCCAGTCAGAGGTGGTATTTGCTGGTTCTCCGAACTACTCAAAATTTCCACTACCGGTTCTCCAGAACTGGTCAGAACCTGCTGAATACCACCTCTGCCCCATAGTGTGTACCTGTCATTGCAGCAGCAACTTCAGTATAAAGACCAAAAACACTTTTCCAGACCAGATGATTTGTTGGAGAAAAATTGTGAAGTGTGAAAAATCAAAGTGTGAAATAGCTCAACATTTGTTGTTTGCTTTGTATGTGTACATATGCTCATTTTCTCCTCATTGAGATATTGTACTTTTCCTATTAAAATTGCACTGGCTGTCATATTTATCTATTTGAAGCATAATTTTGATTTTTTCTAGTTGTAATACCACAAGATGATTTTTCAAGAACAGCATAAATATATCATTTGAGAACAGGGTTTTGGCAATCTTATTTAGCATTTCATTACTAAAAACAACTTTGCAGGCATCAAATATTGTTGAGTTTGTTAATCTGTTTCCTGTTGTATATGGCTTTTTATATTTAGAAATACAGAAAAGAAATTTAAAAGATGCTCAAACTATAGCTGTCCTTATTTGCCAAAATAAAAATCATTTTGTTGAGATTTCATTGCTGACTGAATAACTAAAAATATTCAATTTATTTTTTGAAATAAGAATTTTTTTCTTCCAGGTGCCTCTTTAAATTACTATTCTTTGTACAGCTACCAATATTCCTCCATATATTCTGCATATTGAATTTGAAAGAGATGCTACCAATTCTCTTTATTCTTTGTATTATTCCTATGGAAGAGTTTGGGAAAGAAGTCTAATAATTTCCTAAGAAAAATATTTCCATTTCTGAAACTTAATTTCATTCTGTTACATTCAATTAAAGTTAATAGTCTTCCTACTTACTATGTATTTCTGGTTTCTAATTGCATAAGTTCAAGCTTAGTTGTCCATGATGAAGCAATGCAAACATGGAATTTCAACCAGAGGAAAAAAGGGTGGTGCTTCCAGCCAATCACAAAATTAAATGCTTTAAATTCATAATTTGGGTTTTTTAAAAAAAAAGAATTTTCAGCTAAAATATACTATATATTTGGAGATACAACATTCTTCAGTTGCTGTGATGATCACTTAAATTGATAATGCAGTTAACACTCCCTGGTTAGTAATAACTGGATTACTCCCTGTGTATCCTCTTTGGCTCTGCATTATTTTCTGAGGTGTTCCTCAACCTTTTGTAACATTTTGCACAAGCAGGCTTCTATTGAATCAGGGCCAGCATTAATAAATCATGCAAACATTTATGGTTTCAATGATTAGATAGAATAGAATATGGAAAGAAGAGAGTCGTGATATAACTTTAGAGAAAGGGGTCAATTTATTTTTGTACTTATAACTGCTGTAAAGAAGATCAGAATTTTTTTGCATATTTTTTGTAACTTTTTATTTTTTGGCTACTTTTTTTTTTAACCTTTCAGTTTTTTTCTTTCCATTTCTCTTTTTGCTCTCTTTTAGTTTGTATTAAGACTTATTCTGTGAACTTATTCTGCGTGATGTCTCAGGAGTTAAAGATGCTGAGCTTGTCAGCTGGAAAGTTTCCCAGCCCGGGGTTCAAGACCCAAGCGCTGCATGATGGGGTTTGCTCCTGTTATCTGCCCCAGCTCCTACCAACCCAGCAGTTTGAGTAGATAAATAGGTACCACTTTGATGGGAAGGTTTCAGCACTTTCTGCCCCTCAGCGTATTTTCATGCTGGCCACATGACCACAGAAAAGTCTTCAGACAACATTGGCTCAGAAATGAAGATGAGCACCTCCCTCTAGAACAAGGCTGTCAAATTCAATTTCATTGAGGGCTACATCAGGGTTGTGTTTGACCCCGGAGGGCCAGGGTGAGCGTGTCTAGGATAGGTGTGGCCAGCTCGATATCACTTGTGTCGGGGATGCCTGTGGTAGCCCAAGTGCTCTGCTAGTAAAAACGGGCTCCCAAGCTCCATTTTTGGCAGTGATGGCCTCTTGCAACCCTCTGCCAACAAAAACTGAGCTCGGGAGGGCTATGTGTGGCCCTCCTGAGCTCCGTTTTCATTGGGAGAGACACAGCTTCACTGTTGCAGGGTGGCCCCGTGGGTCAGATCTGGCCTCCGGGCCTTGAATTTGACACCCTAGAATATCAGACATGACTGAACAGGGGAAAGCTTCATCTTTTATTTTGTGAACATAGAAATGGAGAAAAAAAGAACTCTTAGGGTTAATAATTCCGTTACAAAGTCTGCACTACTATTACCATTAATCTTCTCAACACTCCTTATCACCCATCTCCTCCCACTTGTGACTGTAACTTTGTCCTTGTATCCTTACGCTCTATATTGACTGTTTCCTAGTATGATTTGATTGCTTATTGTACCCTATGACTCATTAACTGTTGTACCTTATGATTCTTGACTCTTGATGAATGTATCTTTTCTTTTCTGTACACCGAGAGCATTTGCACCAAGACAAATTCCTTGTGTGTCCAATCACACTTGGCCAATAAAGAATTCTAATCTAATTAGCAACTGTTAATGGACTCTTAGTCTACTGGAAGTGTTGTAATCCCTTCAATTTGCTTGACAAGATTTCAGGAATGGCTTGCCATTTCCTTCTTTTAGGGCTGAGAGGGTGGCTGGCCCACAGTCATCCATCTGGTTTTATGCCTAAGTGGGACTAGAACTCATGGTCTCCTAGATGCCTGGTGCCCTAGCCACTAAGCCAAACTAGCTGGCTGTTGAATTTGCTGAGAATCACCAATGTAATTCCTCAATATGAAAAATGAAAACAATTGAATAAAATGTTATTCAAGCCAGGTTGTTTTTTTAAAAATTTTTTTTTGAATACCTCCTTGCCTTGAATACTTATCTCCCTGGTACTTGGGCATAGATAGGAAGTTGTTTTGTTCTCAATTGAGCCATTAACTTAGTTAACATAGATGTGTTTCCACTGAGAACTGTAAAGCAATCCTTCTCTGGCTTATCTTGATTTTTTGTATAAAGTTTCTGGAATTTGATTCAAAGGCTTTTGGATGTAAAAAGCATATGCTCCTCTACATAAAATTCAGTTCTTCCTTTTCCTCTTGTAAGGGCATCACTTCAAACTGCTTCCATGGGAACGCCAATTCCCTGCAAGATCTGGTCAGTAATCCTCTGTTGTAGTTTTCCATTTCATGTGTGTGAGACCTCTCAAATCACTGGCAGCCCTGTAGCAAAGAACTTATCTAACATCCAAAAAGCAGTACAAGATTAGTAATTTTAGGCAACCCAATCCTTTATTAATGTTTGCAATTTCTTACCGAAACCATGTAATACGGTGGACATCACCACAATCGATTTACATTAGAATTGAATTACATTTTCAAAGCATGTATCCCTTTTTTTTTTTTTTTAATACCTCAGACTTGTCTTGCCTCATTCACTTTCCTATCAGGCCCATAAAACTTTCCCCTTTCTCAGAACCGAAAAGACTTCGGATGTCTTGCAGGGATGCAAGGGGGAAAATCAAGCATTTGAATCCTAATGCTGCCAGTACAGTTGCAGCCCTGACCGCCGCTGCCAGGGTTGAAAACGTCTTGAAATGAAAGCGTCAGGAATCCGGAGGGCTTTCATCGCGTTGGTCCCGCTCGAAAAAGGAGGTCAGCCTTGGAAAATGCCGGCCCGGTTGCAAAACTCCACCGACTCCTGGAATCGCCTTTCGGCCCCAATCTTAGAGCGGTCTCCGGGCGCTTCTCTCCCACCCGCTCACCCACCCCTGGCTTTGCGGAGCCCCTGGTTCCTTCCGCACGGAGGAGGCGCCTGATGACAACCAAGAGCAGCCACACGTGCGGGACGCTGGAGGGCGGACCTCCCCTTTCGGTTTGGGAAGGGGAGCGCTCCCGCTCCGCCTCCGGCTCCGCCCGCGCGAGGGCCGAGTGACTTTCCCAGCCCGGCACGGAGCATCGGGCGCATTTCTCCTCGGAGGGGCGGCTTAAGCGCGATGCCCAGGTGGCTCTCCGGTGCCGGATCGCGGCATCTGATGCCTCCCGCTCGCCTCCTTCGTGCCGTCGCCTTCTTGCTCTTGGTGCAGGCCCCCGGGGCTCACAGCCTCGGCCTCTACTCGCCCGATGACCCGCTGGTGGAACTGGACACCGATACGCTGGAACGCCGCATCTTCAACTCCACTGGCGTGTGGGTGGTCGAGTTTTACGCCTCCTGGTGCGGCCACTGCAAAGCTTTCGCCCCGCTTTGGAAAGGCTTGGCCAACGACCTGAAGGGTAAGTCCAGCAACCGGCCATAGCCAAAAGCCAACAAGCTGGCCGGCCGGGGCCGGGGGTGGGTGGGTGGGAAACCTTCCTGGTCCTCTTCGCTACCCGCCCTCCTCTCCCGAGCAGGTGTGGGCCCGCCAGGTCGCACCAACTCAAGAGATGCCCTCTCAGTTGGTCCCGGCTTCGCAAGTTGCCCGCAGCTGCGGCGTAGTAGAGTATGCCCGAAATGAAGTCCCGGTGAACGAAACCCAGCCGCTGCTTCCACTCTCATGGAATTGAATTGCTGCCTCTTCCGGGACAGGGTTTTTCCTAGGCGCTGGTGTTGCTCGGCGTTGGCTTTTTCTTTAATCGCGTTTCCCCTTCCTTGCCTTTTTGTGTAACACAGCCTTTCCCAACCAGGTGCCTCCCAGTGCATTGTATTACAACGTCAGTAGTTCCCAAAGGTGACTCACTGGATGATACGACCGACAGGCAGTACAGGAACAGAGAATTCAGAAGTTCCTCTAGGTGTACATTTTACTACTGTCTATATACTGTGAAGCAAACCTGTTAGTGTTCACTAGGTTTTCTTCCAAGTAATTTATTTTTCTTCCCAAAGAAAAGATGAAGACATAATTATTGATTTTAAATTGACCTCCCTCCCTGCCTCCCCTCTTCTGTGTCCATTAAAAACATAATAATTTGGCCTTTGCATTGGAGCAGTAGGGGGGGGAAGCTTAAATCCCTAACTATTTCCACTTGCAGATAAAAAAATTCCCTGAAACTGTGAAGAGTTTAAAAGGATGCCTTTCTCTCTAATTGTTCTTCCGCCTGCAAAGAACATTCTCCTACAAGTCCCCTCCACCTATACGTTGTATTATTTCCTTATTTCCGTGACTCTGTCCTATACTATTCTCACTCTGCCAATTATTTCCTCACTCCAGTAAGTTTGCATTAAATCATTAAAAAGTATATTTAGGTTGGTCTCGTTGTACTGACCGTACTTGCTGTATCAGTCAGTTCTAGCTAAGTAAATACAGTTTAAAGCCTGTCCTGCTTGTGTCTAACATCAGTGCATTGTCTACAGTGCATTGTGTACAGTAATTCAAATATCTGGAGGGTGTCTGCTTAGAAGGAGGATGCAGGTAGTCCTCAATTTACAACCACAATTGAACCCCAAATTTATGTTGCTAAGTGAGGCAGTTGTTAAGTGAATCTTGCCCCATTTTATGACCTTACTTGCCACAGTTGTTAAGTGAATCACTGCAGCTGTTAAGCTGCTAACAGTTGTTAAGTGAATCTGGCTTCCCCATTGACTTTGCTTATCAGATGGTCGCAAAAGGGGATCACATCATCCCGGGATACAGCAACCGCCATAAGTGTTTGATCACATGATCCTGGGGATGCTGCAACAGTTGTAAGTGTGAGAGAGAGTCATAAGTCACTTTTTCAGTGATGTTGGACTGTTCTAAATCAAGGACTATCTGTATGTGCTAAACACACAACCTGTGAAATCTTCTAAATCCTGACATCTAGCTGGGGTAAATTACAAAAGACATGTGCAGTCTTCTTCTCACAGCATGGATTCTGTGAGTGTACTCTGAACCATCTGTGCATTATTTAATATCACAGTTGAACAATTGTTTCACCTCAGTTCTGCTTAAAAAAAAACAAGAACCACAATTTAAATCTGTTTTGCTTCTCAGCTGCAGACATCTTAGGGCTTTAAAGCTTCACGGTTATTACTGGCTCTATTAATGTATTACATTACATTTGTGTAATCCTGTCATAATTTCTCTTTTATGGTTTCTGTATGAACATTTTCCACAGTCATTTTCATTACTTTTTCAATTATGACCAAATTGTCTTTGTTATTACTGTTACTATTTTTACATCTCTTGAACAAATATTCCCCTTCCTTTTCTTCTGTGGTGCTTTTTTATGCTTCATCAGTGAATTTCCATTTTAGTGCCAATCTATTTCATTAGCCTTGGCTCTTTAGGATTGCAATGAACCTCTTGTTCCTTTGTATCTCTGTGGTTAATTATTTTTCTTTTGTTCTAATTCAAAAGGAGAGGTAGATTTGTTTTTTTTAAAGTTTCCCTTGATGGATCAGTATTCCTTTTAAGAAACTTGCTGCTATAAGTGTTTGTGTTCAGTAATACCTCTGAATGATTATAGGATTGTAGCTTGGAAGTTTCAGTTCAATTTATGGGAAATATTATTTATTAAATGTATGCCTTACCTGACTCCTAACCTTTGTGGGAATCTTCACTCCCATCTGTCTTTCAGAATAGGTAGGTGTATCTCACTTCATGAGGCTAAATTTAGCTTGAAACCATAGAATGGAAAATCATGGCTCAATTCTTATTGGGTCTACTTTTGTGCTAGTCAGCCATTGTTCTGTGGCCATTTAGCAAATGGAAGGCCAAATTAATATAAACAACTCTTGCACTCAAAACCCTAATCCTGTTCTATCTTCATTAGACAGTTTTGGGCAGTGAACAGAGGCCTCCTTGCCTGTTGCAATGTAAAGATAAAAACAGCAAAAATGATAATGATCTCATTGTGATAGGCTTTGGGCACAAAAGCCCTTGTCATGGATGCCTTTCCTCTTATTTTTGGGGAGGAGGAAATGAGCAGAGAAGTAAGAGACAGTCAGTTTAACATTTGAATTTGTTATTGTTTGCATAACAGCAGTGGGAGGTACAAGAGGCCATGCTGGGAAGTTGGACTGATAACCATATCTTTGCTAACCAGCTTTAATAGAGAAAACTGAGGAAGCAAAATGGTAATTAATGACTTGTAAGCAAAAAAAAAATGTGGAGGATTTTGACAATGGGAAAGAATCTTGCAGGCCTACTTGTTTCTCTCTTTTTCTTTAACAGGGCAATGTAGAATAGTGTTTAGTGATGGATAGGGCGTACATAAGCGCACCAACGTGCCTACCGTCCCTGTCCTATTGTTTCTTTTCTTTTTTTCCTTATATGTATCCATCTATTCATAACTATGTTTTTACTTATACCTATTATTTTGTAAGCAATTGACAAAAATAAATAAATAAATAAATAAATAGATTGTACCTAAGAAGACAGTCATACTCTCTCAACTGCACCAACTCATCAGAAATCATTCCTTACTGTGATACATAGCAGTGGTTCTCAGCCAGAGGGCCATGCCATGTTTTTAGGGAGTCACAATGTATATATGATACAGTTTAAATCAATGATCCCCAAACTCTTGAGCTCATTGATCCCTTTATGAATTTTCACATTGTTCATTAACTCCCAAACACACATTATGGGTAATTTAAAGTAGTATTTTAACTAACAGTACTAATTGTTACAATAACAACCCCAAAGCAACTGGATGACCACTTCTACACCACTGGCATTGACAAAATTACCATCAGTCGGTTGCAAAAGGCAGGTTTACTTTGAGGATCTTACATCGTGCAATGATACTTTTAGCACCATTAATTAAAATAACTTACCATTAAAACAATTTGCTTATCCCAGGTATTTGGGAAGGACTTGATAGATGAATAAAAACGCCAAAGCCAATATAAACTTCTGGCTGACTCTTCAACCAAAACAATTATGGATAGTTGAATTGACTTTTGGAGGCCAATATTGACCCCTTGATTGGCGTGTAGTGTAGATGGAAAGAGTCTGAAGAGTGGGAGTCACAGAAGTAAATGAGGTTCAGAAAGGGGCTGTGAGCAAAAAAATGATTGAGAAGTTTTGTTAGGTAGCATCTTCCAGCATCAACTGATAATTTTTGGGTAAGCAGCTGCCCATTTCAAACTCTGGACAGTGAACAATCATATAAATAATTAAAGCACAATAGAGGAAAAAAAATTAAATTCAAATAACAGGCAAGAGATATTGTAATCCTTTCATGTCAGCATAATCAGGAACTGGGCCTTTTACAGACTCAGGACTCCAGACCTGGGTACATTGCCAAGACTTCAAGACCTTCTGAGAGGCCAACAGAGTTGGGGACCATCCTAATTGCAGGAGTATAGGTGCTTCGGCAGAAAAGAGACACATCTGGTTACCCACCAGGTGCTAATCCTTGGTTGATAGGAGACCTGGAGTATGCCCATCCTACCAGATCAGATTGGACCAGATACAAACTGTTGGAAAAAGACATCATTTAGGTAACCTGCTGCCAAACCATGGAGGGCTTTAAAATTGCCAACCATCACCTTGAATTGCACTTGAAAAGACACTGGCAACCAAACCAAAGCAATAATGTTATGTGTGCTGAATAGCCAATGCTATTTACAACCATGCTGCTGCATTCTGTTCCAGTTTAAAGTTGATTCCCAATTTCCCCATCATCATACAAGTGGTCATGCCCGTGCACGCACATACACCACACACACACACACACACACACACACACACACTAGCATTCTCCATACCAGAGAAACAAAAAAGGGGAAAAAAATCAAGAAGATGTTGGGGTGATGGGAAGTTGTACCTGCACTGGGAGGAGAAGGAAATAGAAAAGTGGGAAGAAAACTAAATAAGAAGTGTGTAATTGAATGGGGAAGAAAGAGTCACTTCCAAGGAAGGGATCAACTCCAAGATAATATATTAAAGGCACCACAGAGCAACTCTTTTCAGCAACCCTGCTTGTTTTTGACACTTTAATCCTTTTGTTTGTTATTTGCTCAAGGATTTGCTTAGCAAATACAAGAGCTCTGTGATAGACTATAGATTCTCAGGAAGGAGGAAGTCCATTCTAAGAAGGGGATGAGACAAGAGCCAACACAATCCAGATCTGGATCAGGAGAAAGAAGAAGGGATTTAGGATAGCCACTTTCTAGAATCTCCCAAAATGGATCCTTTGGGTTAGAATAGTATAAGTTTACTCTGGCAAGATTCTGTCTTTGTGGTATGAGTAATTAAGGAACTGAACTTTGGCTGTATCATTTTATATCATTCTTGAGCTAAACCTGACAATCTCCTCCCAGGCAAAAGCTGGGGAAAAACCCTCATTTTTTTCAGGCAAATAAGATA